CCCCGTGCCACGCGTGGCAGCCGCACCCGAGAACCGTGGGCCGCCCGCCCAGGCCTCGCTGGGAGGCACTGGCTGGCCTGGGCCCCCATGCCCGAGGCGCCGCTCCCTGGAGGCCTGGCTCTGCGCCAGGGCAGGGCGGCCGGCCTCTCTGTCCCCGGGCGGCACCCTCAGGAGAGCGGGGCACTACTTCCGCCCCCCGCCCCCCGCCACATCTGCCCTGAGCTCAGCAGAACCCGTGATGGCAGGCGGGTGGTGGCACCAGCTCATGTTTGGGTGTGACACGGCTTCCGGACAGCCGGGTGCCTGGCATCCATCCCGGCGGCCCCAGCCAACTCGCCTGGCACGGCTGGGGGGCTCGCAGCTGCCCAGCCAGGCCAGCCACGGGGCGACAGTGCAGGACAGATGGGGCCACTGCTCGGGGCCCAGCGCGCCCTTGGTCGCAGGAGTGGGTGTGGGGCTCCGTGCAGAACGGACCGGTCTGCGGGCCATCGCCTGGCCCTCGGCTCCGCTGGCCCCCGGCGGGACTAGCTCCGTGAGGGCCCCGAGGCCAGAAAGCCCCGCTCCTCAGAGCCTCCCGTGGCCGGCCGCCGGCCTCTGCTTCCCCACTGCAGCCTGTCCTCTGGTGCCCTCACCCTGCTCCCGGAGAGGGCCTCCGAGCTCCCGGACACCTGGACTGGCCGGCGTGGCTGACCTCCTGCCCCGTGCCCTGGGCATCTCCTCGCCCCCCCAAGCTCCAGGTCCCTTCCTCCGAGTCCTGCGCCCTCTCCCCATCTCCGCCTCGCCACCATAGTCTCAGGCCCCCTAGCGTCCCCGCACCCACCGCACGCTCCCGTGGCCTGTGCTGGACACAGAGCGGGGCAGTCGGAGTGCCCGGACCCCCGCCGCGCCTCCCCAGCAGACCTTCTCCTGGTACTGGCGCCGGGAGGAGTCCAGGGACTGGATGAGGGCGGTGGCGTGGCCGATGAACATGGCGTAGCACGTGGCGCCCACGATCATGCTGAGCATGGTCAGCCAGATGTCGGTCATGCTCTCGGGCGCCTGCCGCCCGTAGCCGATGCACAGCATGTGGCTCATGGCCTTGAAGAGCGCGAAGGAGTACAGCTCGCTCCAGGAGTGGTTCTGCGGGAGCGGCGGGCGGTGGGCAGGCGTCCGGGCCCCGCCCCGCCCCCGCCCCCGGCCCAGGGAACCAGGACAGCGGACTGGGGTAGGTGACGGGGGCGCGTCGGGGGCCGGGCAGGTCTGGTGTTTCTCCCCGGGGAAACAAGCTCTGGGGACCGGGGTGGGGGCTCGGGGGCCTCCACCCCTCTACGGCCTCTGAGCAGCCCTTGAGGCCCTGAAAGTCCCAGGGCCCTGGGGACAGTGACCGGGAGACGCTGAGCCCCACCAGAGGGCAAGGCGGAGGGGGCGCAGCATCGGCACGGCCAGGAGCCCCCGCCCCTGCCCGTCCTCAGCTGACCCGGCGGGGGGAGGGGCAGCAGCCGGCCAGGAAGCAGGACAGCGGCTCCGTGTCCGGCCGCACAATGGGCCGCCTGCGCCGGGCAGCTGTGCCAGGCGCTGGGAGGGGCCCGGGGCTTTCCCTGTGAGGTCCTGGCCCGTCCTTACGCAGCTGCTCTGGCCCCAGGCGAGTGCGCCCAGCCCGCAGGTGCCTCCGCGGCCTGCAACCGCAGCGGCTCCAGGACTCCCTGGTTACCAGCCGCACCTCAGCCCGGGAGTCACAGGTCTCAGGTCCCCAGTGACTTTCCCTTGTGTGGCTCGAGAGGACACCCGTGTGAGGGAGGGCGCAGCTGCCTCTAAGTACACGTTGGTGAATAAACCCTGGACTCGAGGGGAACGGAACAGAAGGCTCTGGGTGACCGGCCAGGTCCGGGGTCGCTGGCGGGCAGCTGGGGCCCCGGGGCGGGGCGCTCACCACCATGCCGTTGATGGACACCCAGCAGTTGCGCGGGAAGTCCTGCAGCATGGGCACCAGGAACTGCAGGCAGCCGTCCCAGTGGCACAGCAGCAGCATCATGCTGATGAGGTTGCAGATGCGCATGACGGCGCTCGCCAGGTCGTAGGTCATGTGGAAGATCTGGGGGGGGCGCGGTGCTGAGGTGCGGCCGGGGCCTCCCCACCCTGCAGCTGAGCGCCTCGGCCCCTGCCCCGCGGGGTGTGGCCCCTCCCTCCGCAGGTGGGCAGGCCCTCCGTTGCCCGTTGCCTTTCATGTTAAAGGAGCGTCCGCCTGCTGCCCTCCCGCCCTCCCGGCGCCCAGATCCCTCCAGAACCACCGTGCCCACCCGCTCCCCGGCTGGGAGCCTAGTGGCTGCCTGGGAACAGGCGTGGGGAGTCGGGTGTCCCTGGACACCAGCGATTCTCTGGCCACGATTCTCCGGGGGGTTAGCAGGAGGCCACTCGGTCCCAATGATGGGTTTTGCTTCTCTGCGCCTCAGTTTCCCCACTGCCCAAGGACCGCCTCCCGTTACCAGGTAAAGGGTGGGCGTGGACGTGTCGGGCCACTCCCCGTGCTCCCAGACTTGGCCCAGAGGCTCCGCCCTGGCCCCTTCCGCTGCAGGGGCTCCGGGAGCTGCGGTCCTGTCCGCCCCACGCCACGCCCCCGACCCTGCCACGCCCA